ATTCTTGACAACGAGATCACAACATACAAATACTTCTAAACTCTTTATCTTGCTCTTAGGGAGAAAAGCAACGTTGATATTGTAATATGCAGAAACCTGTGGAAATCCCATTATTTGCTCCAATTCTCGCACGACAGAGCCAAAGCCCTCACCACCTCTCGCGACTGAGAAAGGAATCGTCGATGTACAGAGACCCAAAACTCATTTCAGAAGCCCTTGCTTGCCCTTTCCTACCTGATATTCTCGCAATATAGTCGTGATTAGCACTAAGTGGGAAAGCGACGATGGGATCGCCGACCTACAAAAACCAGAAATTCCCATCTTTTTTTTTCCTTCTGCACTACTCTGCCCGAACAGTCGCGATACAATCATCATTAGAGCTTATTGAGAAGATAGCAACGAGATCATGGTACAAAGACTCAAAACTCTAATCCTCCTTCTTCCACACTATTATCTGAAACCATGAAGGCAGATGGATAATTCATATTGTACACCCTACTCTGCCGATGCACGCGACAGCTGATGCCAAAGCTGAACCCCTCGATCATCGCGTGTAACTCCAGAATCGGCTCTGCCACACAAAAGCGAAACCTAAAGTCGGACGATCCTCTATGCTCTAATCCCTAGCACTCTTCTTCAATCCAACCAAAGCCCCTTAACACTTCTCCCTTGTCTCAGTTACATGAACTCAAAATAGGAATTAATCTTGTTCAATCCTGCCTTTTGCTCGAGCCTAAAATTGAGTCGAACACAATTTCTCACAGTTTCATAGTTTGTGTTCTGTATTGTATTAAAAAAAGGAAGAAAGTTTGTGTTATAACTTTTATTTTATTGACCTCGTCGCTATCATCATGGATCATCGTCTCCAACTACATTGAAGCTTGGAAAAGGTAAACTTTGGGGCAATAAAGCAATTTTCGAAATGCCTACTCGAGGAAGCGTGAGTACCCGTCCATGGAGAATTAAGTGCTGTTTAGGAAAAATGACAGACTTGTTTGGAAAATTTTTTAAAATTGAGATTTTAAGCACCCGTCCGAGGGAAAGCGTGTATCCGTTCGTGAGGATTAAGTACCATTTGGAGAAAGTAATGTACCAGTCTTGAAATGCTGATGTATGATCTAACATTTTGTGCAGCTACAGTGATTGTCTGTTGCGTATTTTAAGATCGCGGGTTAAATTTATATTTTTGCTCTCTGGTCACAACGTCTTACGACATTGACCAGCACGTCTTTTAAGACAGTAGGAACTCCTTAATAATTTAAAATTTGAACTAAAATATAAGATGTCATAAATTACTTGGGCTAAACTTAAATTGAATATGAAATATTATAAATTGGGTGGGCTAAACTTAAATTGAATACAAAATTCTATAATTTTGGGGCTAAGCTTGATTTGATTATGAAACATAACAAATTGGGGCTAAACTCGCTTGGGTCAAAACTTAAGGGTTGACAAATTGAATTAAACATAAAACATCATAAATCGGGCTGAGCTTAAAATATGTCAGTCATATTTTTGTATGTGATAAGGATCATATGTCATATCACCACCGAATTCGCAACGCATCTACTTTCGAACAAAAGGTTGTTCCTCTTAAGGCATGAAGATGCGACATTGCATGTGATAATTTCAAATAAAAGCTCATAATTTCAAAATGGCTAAAGACTTTAAAGCCCGCAAAGCTTCTTGGTTACTCCTAAGTTAAATGCAATAATTTGAAATATATGAAAAATATTTTGAAACTTATTTATACTCTCTTAAATTGTGTATGCCTTAATAGATTCATATAGAATACATGATTTCAAAATCGGAGTCCTAAATTGCAAATCATAACTATAGTTTAAAGGTTACACAAGCCTTCAATATATGAAATATAAAAACCTGCATGTGCTTCAATAAGTATATTGAATGCCCAAATATTAGTTTCAAGAATGTTGTGCAGGCTAATTGGGTTGCATAATCTATAGGACATGGTTGTAAGTCAGATTTAACTAGTTCGATCCTCCTCATCGCAAAGTCTGAAGTTGACTAGTTTAGTAATTTTGAAATAAATGTTCAATTCCTAAAGAAAATATTTTACAAGTTTAAATCATCTAGTCCGATTATTCTCCTTGTAAGGACAAGAGTTGATAGGACTCATACCCTAAAAGTATAAACAAACACAACTAGATACCTCCCTCAAGTATTAAACTTTAAAATGTTTAACTCCTTGATGATGACCGAGTTGATAGACTATTTCAACCGGAGAGGTTAATCTTTTAAATCAAGATGCTTACAATATAAATTATGTTTAACTCCTTGGTTACAAAGTACTCTATTTACAATACATTGATTTAGAATTCACCTAATTCCGGTAAATTTTAAATACACTCAAAATAAACTAAAGGCGGACGCCAGCTGCATCAACAAATTACTTTGGTTTTATTTTCCATACAACCAAACACCTAAAATTTAAAATTGTTATATTTTTTTTTACACTCACTCAAAATGCACCAAACCAAACAAGCTTTTAATTCTTATGGTTTATTTATTTATTTATTTTTTTTTTTTTGTCACTCTACTTGGTTAATCTCCCATTTTTCATGCTTGATAAAGAGAAAATCATGAATGGTGATTTATTGCAATTTATCTTTTGTGTGCCCTTGTCATTGTCAACCTAATTTTTTTTACATCTTCTCTGCGAGGAGTAAACAAAGGTTATAAAAATCAAATCATACTGGCCGATTCAATCCTGAGCTGGTCTTCCCGTAAGTTCGATCTAATTCCAAAACTCCTTTTGTACATAACCAGCCAAAATCGATTGAATTCGATGGCCAAACCGAGGAATTGGTGAACCTTTTGATAAACTGTCTGGTTTTAAGATTTGATCCATCTATGATATTTTTATTTTGATGTAATGGCTAGAGATAAAAATTTAGAATAACAAAACTATTTAAATTTAGATATCTTAATTTGAAGTTGAACGCTTATAAACATAAGAAGAGATTGGTGAAATTTCCTATAATTTATATTTTGTTTTTGGCGTTCCAAGTTAGTGGCAATGCACTAGATGTATTTGCATGCATTTATACAAGTGTTTAACTGCTTACAGAAAAAATAATCATGCCATCATCAAATTTAAAATATTCAATGGTGAAGTGTATTGTTTTAAAATATTATATATTAAATTAGTGCAAATATCTCCTTCCGATTCAACAAGTGATTCAACAAGTGATCCGGTTTTCAAAAATTTAAAGAGTAAGGTATGAGAAACTAATTTCTCCTTACAGTAGCAATATGGGGTAATAGCTGTTTCTAGGTTTCTCCAAGTCTTCTCTTAATCATTATTGATGCAGGCCCTAATTTGGAGGCCGTACAACAGATATAATCCAGCTTCAAGGCAATTCAATTTACAGCCGTTATCAAATACAGTACTTTGAATCTCGTTGTAATTGATGTTCTTCGCAGTTCTTTTAATTCAAAATTCCATTTGGCTCACCCAACTAATATTTGTAAACGCTTTTTGACAATTTGCTTTGGCTCTCCACAGTCCATGCTAGTAAAAAACCTGCTTCAAAGAGAGGTTCTCTAATTGTATCAGAATCGATGATTAGGAAACTTTTATGTCTGCTTTGTGTTTCAAACTGCCACTACAGTTATGTTTGAGGAATTATTTTCTTGCAGTTTTTTAGAAATTCTTGTGATAAGAAGCTACTTTTTACAATCAGATTTGTAAAGTATGGTAGCTTTAAGGAAACTGCTGTTTGACTTTCTAAAAAACAAATATTTATAATTCACATGCAAACTTCCTGAAAATTGTTTTTCTTATCATAACTTTATAACCATCTTTATAAAAAATTGCAGCAGTTCCAAACGGATATAAGTTACCAAACCACAGCATGGCAACTACAAAAATAGAGAGCTCAACATCACTGAGCAGTGATCTTCTATACGACATACTTCGCCGTCTCGACGGTCCTTCTCTAGCGAAAGCTGCGTGTACTTGTGCTGACTTCTGTTCCTTATCAAAAGAGGAAGTATTATGGGAAAACGCATGTCATTCTCTTTGGCCTTCAACTCATAGAGATGATGTTAGGAGTCTCATCTCCTCCATTGGTGGGTTCAGACGGTTCTACGCCGATTGCTTTCCCCTTATTGTCAACGAGGACATCCCCGCCGTTCAAACCGACGACAATCTTCCATATCCCGCCGATTGGAACGAGGATGATTACTATGGGGACAGTGATGAAAATGAAACAATCTTCCCTTCTGATTTTGTTTCCATTGTTGATGTGAGGTACAAAGAGAAAACAGTATATTCAAAAGTCTTATGGGGAATTCCTGATTCTGACGGTTCTAATGGTTGGTTTCATACTTGCCCATTTCGAATCGACCTGCTCCGCTATTCAGATGGAACCGGTAACGAGGATGGTGATGTTATGCTCTCAGTTGATGACGGTTTGCCGTCCATCACATCTTTAGAGAGAGAGAGAAAAGATGGGAGATTGTGGAGGGATTTGCACGAGGGAATTGTACTAAGCTGGATCATTGTGAATAGAAGATTGAAGCAAGCAGCGAATCTTACGAGCTGGAGACCGCTCGGGAGGCAGAGGCATTGGCCGACTGATCGAAACTTCGTTCTTCGATTCGGATCGATTCTTCCGGTGAAAGACATTCCCCCATGCCAGGTTGCAAAATGCATCATTGTGATGAAATTTAGTATTGTGGGTGCAGGGAATGGAGAGGGTGGTATGGCTACAGGTCTGAGATTAACTGAGTTGAGTATGCAGGTGGAGAATATGGCGGGAGCTCATGTTAATGGGCGGAATAGTCTGCTTGTTTTAAAAGAAGCTTTGAGTTGCAGGAGGAGCAGAAATTATGGGGAAGTGTTGGAGTACTGTCACTTGTATTTGAAGGCTCAGAATGAGTTTAAAGAGGAGAAAATCAGGAATGAAAGCTGGTTTGATAAGGTTTATATAATAAGCAGCATTGCAGTAGTTGCTGCTTTTTTGCTTTTGTTGCATACTTTGAAAATGTAAAATTGTATCCTAGAAATGTTCTTGCCTTTTCTTTTTATAAATAGATTCACTTTGCTGTAGGCAAGAGATTAGTTTATATTTATCCTGTGATGGGCTGTGTTTTGACAATATATGTAGTTGTTTTATACATCGACATTAGATTGTATGAAAATTTGTGTATGATTGACTTAGATTTTAGAAGATAATAAGCTCTATGGTTGCTTTTAGGAGGAATAGTGGATTTTACTTGTTCTTATGCTTAATGCTAAAAAATTATAATAGATTTTTATGAATTTAATTCGCAGTTTGTTTATTATGTGAAACATGAAGATCAACTTAATGTTTTTTGACTTTGGAAACTTTATAACTAAAATATAATTTTATATCCTAAAGTTATCTCACTTGTGGCACTTGATTTTATCTCATATCTAAGGGAATAATGCTTCAGCTGTTAGATATGTAAATACATAAATTATGATGTATTTACATATCTAACAACCTGAAGTTTGACAGTTACACTAATAACACCTTGTATATTAAACCTATGCATGAGAAGATGAATTTCACTTTTAAAAATTAGGGACGATGGTATTTTTGACGTAATGTTAGATTTGAGTGGTATGCATGCAAAAGAACATGATTTACAGCTTCTGGACCCTAAGAATCCTTGAAGGTGCTCTAGAATAAGATTTTCTCTAAATTTTCTCAAGTGATAATAAACATGAATGCACCTCTTTTTCAAAGCAAAACATCACTGTTTATTTGTCTTTCCAGAATCATTACCGTTCATTCATGTCATTAAGCAGAATGTGTACAGAAAATACAGTAACTATCCAAATGTTCTTCACAAACCAGATTCCCAAATAGCAGCAGCTCGTTCTTTTACAGTTTGATAGAAAGCCTGAACAAGATGAAGAAGGAAAAAATCTGCTCCATCTCTTGCTAACAAAGAAACTGAAACAGGAAGGCCATCTTGCATCCCAAGTGGAACAGGGATCTGTATACAAAGCCAGAAAAAAAAAGAGAGGAAAGATTTACATGCATACCACTCAATTCCTATAGATTTACATCTCTCACCTAAATTTCAATTTTTACATATATGTCATCTTACCTATACATGAAAAGGTGTATTTCACTTTCTAAAAGGTAAAAAAGTGGTATTTGAGATGTGATATGAAGGATTTGAGTATTACAAGTGTAAAAAAGTAAAGTTTAGCGGTTAGAAATGTAAATACATAGGAATTGGGTGGTATTAATTAAAACTTGGAGCAGATTATGACTGTATTGTATCAAATATAAAAGGAAGAAAAATTCAAATTTGATTACCTGGCAAAAGCCAGACATGCCTGCAACGGCTAGCAAACTGAAAGCTTTGGCACGAAAGTCATTCAATGTAACACCATCCAGGTTGAGGTATGGAGGTGGCCCTGGAACGGTAGTATTACAAGGGGCACCGTAGTCCTGAATAAAGAAACAAGAGAAGAATTACACTATAATGTTGCCAAAGAGGCACTAATTTGCAAAAACTAAGTAGTCTGAGGCCAAAAATGTAATTGAAAATTTAAGAATTGTAACTCCCAAAAGGCCAGTCCAACCAGCCTTGAACTCAGCCTTTAATTTCCAGCAGCTTTCTAAATTATCATCTGTTGATGCCAGGGCATCCATTACTCTTTCTGATATTCCAGGACACAAGTTGGGTTTCACATTATTTAACCATTCTTCATGATTACATTTAAATTCAAACCTGCCAAAAAAAGCAATAATTCAGCATTATATTTTATACTATCTTCTCTATGAAAATTGTATAACCATAGGATTTTGACTATGAACTTAAAAATATTTTCTTAGTAGATCAATGTTTTCAAAATTAGAGTAGTAAATTGGTGCCATTGTAGAGGCTAACTTCAGAAACATGCTAAACAATTGAGTAAAGTGTCAAAATAGTCAGTTGACTATTTACATATGGTCATCTTTGTCCCAGAGTTTAAAAAAGTATTAAAATAGTCTCCATACTCTTAACTAGGGGTGTAAATGAGGCTCAATTCGTGTTCGGCTCGTTTATATTTCAAGCTCAAAAAATGTGTTCGTGTTCGGCTCGTTTGCTC